AGAGAGAGAGAGAGATTTTGAGCTTTCCATAGTGCAGATTTCATATTGCAAATCTCACCTATGAGTCATGTATTCGGTTTTTCCGGATCGAGTCGAGATCAGGGCTACAACACCCATTTGAAGATCTTAATCCTAAGCTTCACATCACACTTTGCCCCAAAAGGAGAAGAGTCCTTTCCCTTACCACCAATGGCCGCATTGATCCCGTCGCAAGAAACCCTAACCCTAATTTTCCCACTCTTCGCACTCCCAACCTTAGCTCTCACCTTTGTATCCAACCTCAAACTGAGCTCCAAACTCTTCTTATTCTGCGCACTCTGCAAAGCTCCCAACTGAGCTGAATCGACCGCGGCGTTGCTGTTTTTCACATCGAATTTCATCAGGGTGGAGTTCTGGGTGCCATGGACAAACCCAGGGAACGAGTCTTGCCCGAGAGGCACATCACCTGTAGAGAGAGAGAGCTCGAAGGGGTCGTAGACATAGACGAGCTTCTTGTTGGGGTTTCGGGCATTGATCTGGAGAGAGATTTCGGAGTTAAGGTGGGAGCCTTTGGTGAGGTTGAAGGTAGAGAGAGAAACAGAGGAGACAGAGAAAGCGGGGGCGTGGGGGCGGTAGAGGAAGTAGAAGACGGCAGCCGCCGCTGCGACCAGAATTAGGAGGATGAGAATGACGAGAGACAACCACAGGCAGCAGGAGCAGCAGCGGCTGCGGCGGTAGCGGTGAGAGGGGGCCGTGGGGCGGTAGGCGGCGCGCGTGGCGCCATACAATTGCGCTTTGGTTGTGAAATTGGGCGGTCCGCCACCTGGTTTGGCTGCAGGGTACACTCTGTCCGCCATTTCAAGAGGAGGAGGATCGGATGCAGAGAGAGGTGGGGGTCCTCTGTTTTTTTTAGGTTCTCTAGAGAGAGAGAGGGGGGCACGATTTACTGATCTAGATTAGCTTTTAGAGAGAGAGAGAGAGAGAGAGAGAGAGAGGTGAGCAGGTGAGAGGGAAAGGGGAAATAATAAGGGGAAGGGAAGGGAAGGAGTATTTGGGTGAGTCGTTTGACAATGGAAGCGCAACCGCAAGTCGGTGGTTTATCTTATTTTTGTTGTTTGGAGAGAGGGGTACAGAGCACCAACTCGAGAGGAGAGAGAAAAGCAGTTAGAGAGATAGGTGGGTTATTATTATTATTATTATAATAATAATAATAATAATAATGATAATATTATTATTATTAAATTTGTTGTTATTATTATGAGATAAGTTTATATAGAGCCGAAGCTCTAAACAATCAATTTAGAGCTTATATAAAAAATTGCACAAGAAGAGCTTGTTTTGATGCCTAAATATCATCAAATTGATCATCTCGACATCAAGATGCATGGACACGAGCAAAAAATAGATTTCAAGTTTTAGAAATAGCGTATTTTGTAACGCATTTTTGGACCATCAATTTTAAAGATTTTCAAGCTTTCATAGATCTTCTCGATATACACTATTTTTTAAGCTTTAAATTTTATAATTAGATATAAAAATATATTTTAAGGCGATCGCAAAGGTTTCCAGTATTGAAACCATATTTCTCAATAATATTTGAAGATACATTTTATTTTTATTGTTTGGAGCCTCGGCCCTATACAAACTGCACCCTTTCTTTATATGCCGTAAGGTTTTTTATTTGCAAGATTATATTTTGGAAATATTTTGGAAGAGTATACAATACTATTTGCTTTTGATATAAAGAGGTTACAATTATTTTCATCCATCATATTGAAAATTGGGTTGCGGTAAAAATATCTTGACTAGACTCAAAGTTCATATAAAATTTCTCAAACTTCGTAACACATCCAAGCCATCTAATTTGGTATCTAATAACTAGGATACCTACTTGATGCCTTTATATTTTTTCTGGTGATTGGTTAATTGAGTTTGGTGGTTATTATTTCATTATTGACAATTTTATTTATATTTCATTAGAAAGAACTCAATGATTTTCAAACTTAGGTCTACTTTTGTTGGAAAATATACTTATTTTAACGCAATAAAGTTTGTGATTGTTTACAAAGAGATAATTTATCTTTCGAATATAGAAGTCACAAGCATTCCCACTCATTAGATGTCAAATTGGATGAGTTTGGATAGGTTATGAAGTCCGAGATTATTTTTTTTTAACTGTCTATTTAATGATACTTTCACAACCACACATTTTGAAATTTAAGGGACAATCCCCATTTTGAAATTGAAGGGACAAGAATGATTGTGACTACAATATACAAAAAATAAATGGTTTATTTGTAGAAAATCCCATAAATTTTATAAAAATAGTGGTTACGAATTCTACATTTTAAAAACATCGCTAAAAACTGAACCACGAATATCCCACAGTATTGTATAGATTATCTGAATGAAATTTTGGATGTAATCAGAGATAATTTTTTATCAAACATTTTTGAAAAATGTATCAGATAATATACATTTTAATGAGTTCATTCCAAATAATATAACAATAAAAATAAATTATAGATACTCTTGCTTCAATTTTTAGTAGTATTTTAAAACCCGAAATTGGGTGGCTAAAGTAAGGTGCACCTAAAAAATACTTTGGAAGAGAGTATTTCGATATTTGAAAACCTTCCAATTAATCATTTCATCCTTGAAATATATAAATATGAAAAAAAAGAAAAAAAAATTCAACATTAAAAATAACATATCTTATAATAAATTATGGAGTAATTATTTTTGAGACCCTCCCACACCTATGTATGTAGGACCTTAAAGGATCATCATTAAATTTAATATAGATATGTAAAAAAGGTATCACATAGGTGTAGGACTTGACTTTTCTAAAGATTTGTATCAAATTTAATGATAATCCTTTGAGGTCCTACTCACATGAGTGTGGGATGGTCCCATGTTATTTTCCTTAATTATGCACGCATCAATATTTCAAGTGTTAGAACCGTTGATTATGGATGCATCCAAAAGAGACGTTTTTTTTCATATTTGACAAAACATTTACAACGTGTGAGCCATTCACTATTCGTTGGTAGCCCAAAAGAGCCACGCGTTTTGAGTTATTGGTTGTGTTTTTATTTTTATTTTTTATTTTTTAAAGAGATGTTGACAATAGACCTACATGTAGATCCAACAAAATGTCCAAAGAGCATGAGGTCGATTTGGAAGGATCGCCATTAAAGATAGGAAAGATTTCCATGTAGTCCTACCGACATATATAGTATGTAAGACCTCTAATTTCCGTAGTCAGATCTGAGTAAATCGATTTGGAAGGATCGCCATTAAAGATAGGAAAAATTTCCATGTAACCCTACCCACATATATATAGTATGTACGACCTCTGATCTCCGTAGTCAGACCAGACTAGATCGTAGAGACTGATTGAGTTACAATGTCATAAACTAGCCATTGAACATCAAAATATTGATCCTACATAATGTTGCATTTGTAATCTTTATTCTATAGATCATTATGCAGCAAAATTAGCGGCATGCATGCATCTCATAGGCATGCACATGATAGGCATGCACATGATGAAAAAGATAAAAAAAGGTGAAGATATTTTCTGTAATAAAAATTACCAGGGTACCTTTGAGACTTTAGAGGTATTTTGGTTATTTATTTTCATGAGAAACATATTATTTTATATTTGCCAGTGAACCCCACAAAGGAAATAAGATGCCTCAAATTTCAGCCAAAAAGGTTTTTGTAGAAAAAACATTATAAACCTAATAGTATTTTGGTGTGACATTACGACATGAGCAATCTTAACTTTCGATTTAAATCGAATGACCCATAAATAAGATGGTTAGGGTCACACAGAAAGCTTTTTTAATTAAGGGATTAATTCCAATTTTCGTGTTTTGTTTACTACCGCAAAGCACTTGTGTTTATGGCTATTAACCGGCCGTGTCCAGGCTGATCTTGCCCTGGCTTGAACTCGGCCTAGGCACAAAATTTTGGATTTGGACCTAGTTGTGCCCGTCTTACTTGGCAAAAAACCAGCCCAGGCCCCATTCTATATAAATATAATAATTTTTTAATAAAAATATTTGTAGTCATTAATTTAAAAATTCGGGCCGGGATTGGGTCCCGGCTTAGGTCTAGGTTGAGCTAGTCCCGGCTTGGGCAAAAAATATTTTGGTCCTAGTATGCCTGGCCCTAGTATGTAACTCAAACCCGGTCCAAAACTAGGCTAGGCCGAAAACCCACCTTCTAACCTAGGCCCATTAACAACCCTACATGTGTTAGATGTTCTCGGAATCCATGTGTAGAAAATGGTGCAAACAATGGTTGTCATTAATCCGAGAAAAAAAAGAAAGAAATAAATCTATCTTTTAAAAATGAAAATATCATTAGGCATCTCTATAATTCTATTGACAATGGTGAATGTAATATCGGTTGGTTCAAATCGAAACCGGCTGGTTACATCAGAACCGGCCACTGGCTGATTCTGGTTGTGTCTATAAGGGTGACCCAGCCAGGTATTGTAAATAAATTTACATAAAATCTCAAAAAATAAGAGATTTGTTTGTAATGTCTTTTTATCATTTTGGGAAAATTTGACATTTTTTCTTTTTTTTTTTGAAAATTTTAAAAATACCCATGGGTGCAAATCAATTTTTTAAAATCAATTTTTTTTAACTAATTTTCAACTTCATTTGGATATGATTTATTTAACCTGCTTTAAATATATTTTTCATAATTTTTTTTATTTTTTTTATTTTTTAACACTTTTTTGACCATCCAGGACTTGTCCAATTAAACCAGTCTAACCGGCTTGTTTACTGTTACTCAAAACTAGCTCTTAACCGGTTTTCGAGACTGGTTCAAAATTTCAAATACTGATTGACAACCATTTGGCTAAACTGCTCTGTTGCTAGGGCGTGAACCACTTCACAGCTCTCCCTTATGCATATCTGGCGACGGACACATGCTCGACCTGTGTTTTGAGTTATGATTTAGATATTTCTATTTTATCATAGCTAACAAATTATCTGATGTATTCATAGATGCTATACTAAATAAGAAATGTTTTACAAATTTTCTTGTTGATTCAAGAATTTTACTTAAGTCCATTCCATAAAAAAAAAAAATTATATTTTTTCATAGGGATGGTATGTATGAAGCCATTTACCGGTAATACATGGTTGTCACAATCAAATCTACCTGCTGAATGTGAATTTCAATGGCCTTGGTTATGTGATGAATCTCGAAAGTTTTCTTTTGGACTTTAAACCAAGATAATGTAGACTCTAAGCCACACGATCTGAGATCCAACAATTGATATCAGTTATGACCTATTTGTACTAAAAGCAAAAGGTCTTATCCTATATTTTTCCTTTTTCAATAATATAATCAAATGAAATCCTGTAATATGCATAGAAGTATATACAAAACACATATAGGTGAAGTTTTACAGCACTTCACCTATACTTCATTACCTTCCAAAGTTCATCACACGGTCACAGTTTTCGGTAGTATTGAAATTTTTATAATTTTGTATTAATCAGAATTATCTAAAAGATAAATTTTCTGGAGAAAAGGGCATGATAGGCCACATTTCCAACAACTCCCACTTGGCTTAAAGGACCTTTGACATATTGTACATGACATTGCCTCTTGCTTTCCACATGCGATTTTCATATACCCAGCGAGTGAAGTCAGTCAAACACCACACTTAGATTTTGTGGCCTCTATAGCCATATATATGGTATTGCTCCCATACAACTTGCATGAGATTTCACATGTACCCTGCCAATGTGATTACACATCACATTTAGATTATCTTGCTTCAACAACTTTGTATATGGCATTGCCTCATGCTACTTGCATGAGATTTCACATATACCCTGTCAATATAGTTATATACCACACTTAGATTTTCTGGTCTCAACAACCTTGTATATGGCATTGCCTAAGTTATTTGCATAAGATTTCACATATACACTGCCAAATTGGTCATACACCACACTTGAATTTCCTAACGTCAACAACCTTGTATATGACATTGCCGTATACTACTTGCATAGGATTTCAGATATACCCTGCCAAATTGGTCTTATATCACATTTAGATT